AAAATAGTATAAAAAGTTAATTTAGATCATTCTTTATTTAATATAAAAAAATTATAAAGATTAGTTAAAATTTGAATAATTTTTATTAGAAGTAATTATTTAATTCTATATTAATATACTAATCTTTTTGCATTGGCTCATAAAATTTATATATATTTTTAGATTTTTTCTGAAAGTGTTATTCTAATTGCAAAATTATTACAAAAATTTTTATTAATTAAACTTTCATTTTTAATTAGAAAAACTTTTGTAATAACATTACAATTAGAATAATTCTTTCTAAAAAATCTGAAAAAAATATATGTTGAACTATGAAAATAAAATATATTTATTAATTAAATTATAAAGTTTAATATAAAGAAAAAAGCTCAATTTTTACTATATTTTTTTAATAAGTTTGATTTCTGATGCATTATTTTGACTGTCATATACCTATTTTAAATATTTATTATACATATTATTATTATATATATATACTCGATTAATTACTATTAGAACTATAATTAAATTTAAAATGTTACGAGCATATTGCATCTTTGGTGTTTGAGCTTTATGTAATTGGCCTGGTAATATTTTTTAATATATAATCATATTCACAAAAATATTTATTTACCAGAAAATATATTCACAAAAATATTTATTTACCAGAAAATATATTCACAAAATTAACTACAGAAGAGAATATAATATCGAAGTCAAATTTACAAAATTCAGAACTAACACTTCTATCAAAAAATTTACTTAATGAATAAAAGAGGTAAGAGAGTGTGTGTACGCGATATATAACTATTAAATTATTAATGATTTATTGATCTAATTAATGGCGACGTCAACGATTATCTTTAGAGTCCCTCGGATTACTCATTACATTCCTTAGGAGCCTTATAGCTTTCCTTACGAACACCACCACCCCATGGACTTCCGCCAACAACTTTAGCGCCGACGCCTAACCCACGTTTCGCAAATCCTTGCCAGATTTCACACTTGTTCTCTCCGCCGGTTAAAATTTCGTCTGCTTGAATTATGGCGTCACGTGCGTCGGTAAATTGTGGCCGACATGGTTGCAGTTTCATTGCATCGACGACAAGTTGTAAGGTGAGTGTGTTTCCGTGTTTTGGAATCCGTCTTGGTATTTTTGGGTCTTGTTTAGGACGTCTTTTTGGTTTTGTGTACCATGATGAACTTTCTTCTTCGTTAGTTGGTGGGAACCAGCTGGATGTAAAACCATGTTTATCTACTAGGTTCCAATATACTTCGTATAACATTTCAGCCCATACGGCACTATTCGTTAATTAATATTTATTTATTCTTATTTAAATGAACCATAAGTATATTAAAGAAGATATGTCTCAAATTAGAACTTACCCTTTAGGATGAACACCCCAATAGCCTGGTTTATCCATCCAACTGAATGTTTCCGGGTTTGTCTTTTTTGATGTTGAATACTGTATACAGAAAAAGAACAGTTTGTTTATAAAAATTATGAATGGAATAAGATAAATTTTCTCTTAAAGAGCACAAACCTTGAATCGCCTGATTCCTTCACCACCGTTTGCCCAATCACCCATTCCAAACTCTGTAGTGTCTCGATCATAATGTGGTTTCATTCTCAGTATTGTGGCAAAGAAATCACCCCATCCTTCTCCCATGCCACCGGCTTCACCCCACCCAAGACAACCACTATTGGCCGGTCCACCAGTTAACCGGGTGGAGATACCATGAGAATATTCGTGAATCTATTATGGAAAGGCATAATGTGAATTATTAAGTTCTCTTAATTTAAATAATGGAAAATAAATAAGCAAATACTAACGATAATGCCAGCTTCAAGATCACCATCTCTCCATGGATTCACCACGTCCCACACATACATTCGCATCTTTCCGTGTTGACCGTCTGGTGGTGTGGCGAAATTTGCGTTATTGTATCTAAAAGCAATCTTCGTGAATATCTGGTGTGTATGATCACATGACAAGCAATCAAGAATATACATACCCAGAACCATCTTGTGCATTTGCGATGACGGCATCTTTGTCTTTACCTCCTTTTCCAAAATTGTTTTGTTGGAAATTGCCGGCAACCTCGTTAAAACCATACCGATAAAATAAGTCATGAACCTAAATAATATTAAGAATGAAGATTAAGATATTATTTATTAAGGGAGATGACATAAGATAATAATGAAATAAAAAGGTAACACGTACAATGTTGTTCCAAAAAAAGAGATTTGTAACCGAAGAATCAACATAAGTTTTCGGTGCTTTTTCCAAATTCAACGGAAAATCAAATTCGAGATATCGGCCTCCGTCCGGTCGATAATTATCCTCCCATTCCCAACTGCCTGCCAGATTTTCATGAGCATAAACGTTATTGCCAATGGTTACCGTAAAATTCTTTGTCCGACTTTGTGAATGCCATCCAAGTGGAGATGCAATCTTATCAGCGGGATCAATAACTAGTTCACGCGATCCCTCCGATGGATCATTAGTTCCAATTGGAAAGACATTATAAGCCGCGTCAGCCACCCAATCAATCAATTGCACAACTTTTCCATCATGTGCATTCACTTGTCCGTGGTACCAATTATTTTCCATTTCTGCCTCAAGATCCCAACAAAGTTGTAATTTGCCTTCATCTGTTTGTACGTAAACTTGTCTAACTTTCACATCAGAGACTGTGAATGGGACACCACTGACAAAAAGAACTGGATCGCCATCAAGCGAAACGGATTCAGTGTAATCGATTTTCTCCGGGTGTGGAATATCTTGATTGATATGTTTAGCGAGCGAGAATATCGCTTCTTCGGGGGAAATTACTGATTTGTCTGGATTGTTGAATAAGGAAGAGTACGAGTCACGTTTACTCTTGCTTGATTTTGGATTGAAAACAATTTTAGTAACATCGATCTTAACTCGGAACTTCGATAATTTATCAACGTCGGATTCCGAATCACTACTCGTTGACTCGGAATTGATGCCGTTTTCTTTCGATGGCTCATTACCCTTATAGAAAGAGTCACCATAGGATATGACGCGACCATTCTCATCAACATTCACATTGATATCACCATTCATAACCTCCAAATCATTAATGACTTGGCGTAAATACACGTGTGTTACACCATTATGTTCGGACTTATACGAGTTTTTCACTTTGAATTCAGAGTTGGTCAAGTGTTCCTTCACGAATTCTAGTGCAATTTCTTTCGGGTCACTGAACGATGACGAGCTATATATAGGCTTTTGTTCTGCGAGAGAAGGAGCCGTATATTTACGGTGCTTCAGTTCGGGACCAAAATTTTCAAGGCGGGCATTCGCCAATGCAAACAAGGCCAAAATTATTGCAACTTTCATGCCACTTGCTGGTCTCATGACTTTTAAGAATGAGAGAGTTGAGAAAGGGAAATATTTACTTTGCCAATTTTATATGGGATTCTGGATTAGGAAAACGCGAGTCACAATAAAAATGCAGCACGTTTAATAAGGATTCAATGGTATTAATAATTAATTAAAGAATCGTAGACGTTAAGGCAACAATTTTTACGCACACTCTCACACTTTTACACTTTTCAAGCTGAATTTACATCAACTTGCACTAAGGAGAAGAAGGGGCTAAGAGGAAAAAGTGCACGAAATATCCCCGCTTATTATAATGGTGCAAGTGTCATGATTTAGTGCGACCACGCCTAGCACTAAAAAACAATGCGTCCTTGTGACCTGTTTTGCACCTGGGTTTCATGTTCTGTGTGAAGAGGAAAGTATATCAATAATTATAGCGGGCAGTTATTACGGTGAGAATCAATTATTACGGCGGCGAACGACTTATCAAAAGATCTACATTAGCAGCAGGAGAGAAGTGTGACAAGAGATCTGTGAATAATGAATATTGATATGATAGTTTTTTCGGAAACAAAGAATTGAATTAATATGTTAGGCTGAAATTGCCACACAAAGTACAACAACTCCTTGAAATAAATTTCTTAATTTGGTAAAGGCGTCATTCATTCAAGTGTTTTTTATCGTTATCGTTTGAACTAACACGACAAAATTCATCTAATGATAATAAGAATAGTATATCGCGATATGAGAGACAGATTTGTGCGTACATTATTATAGATTCTTCCTCTTCACAATAAAAAGTTTGAAAATGACGCTCTTGAACTAATATCTAGTATGACGTAATAAAGTTAACGGAATACTTTATTGAGACGACAATGTACCAAAAAGAGATTCGGTAAAATAAAACGAAATGCATAAATAGTAAGCACCTGTCAACATAAGCATGCATAGAGGAAGTAACCCCTTATATGAATATTTCATAATTTCGTTTAGAAACTAATAACGATAATATCCCTGCGCCTTCTTTTTGTTTGTATCTTATGACGCGTGGACGCACGCGTATCAATTTTTATTTGTTTATTTTTGTTTATTTTTCAAAGAAAGGGAAAAAATTTCGTTGGATAAAAATTATTATTCTTACGATGAAAAGTAGTCATCTGTCAGCTGTGCTCCTAAAAAGTGCAAGTAAAAAAATCATCAGGTCAACCAGATTAGAAACTAAGCAATCTGATTGGTCGATTTAGCCTTGATGATTTATGGTTAACTGTAAAAATATCTATTATCATGAAATCATGTTTGTTGTCACGAATTAATTAATACAAAAATTGATTATTAGAAATTCAGCAATACGCCTGGTGGGCTTAGTAGACACTGAAACGACGGAACTTGTAATTTGTATGCTGTGGAATTTGTAAACAGAATAAACATTACTTTCACTAAAACGAGTTATCCCATTTAATGGCAGATCGAATGCCGAACATTGCCGTCCAGTCAAAAAAACCATCCCCCACTGTATATATAAATTAATAATAATGAATAATTCATCAATTAGTTATATTCTAATAGTTTAAATAGTTTAGCAAATGGTTTTGTTACAAAATGTATTATAACCTTGATTATAATTATCAATTTGTTATCTTTGATGAATTCACATTTGTAAGTTGTGCTTTAGTTGATTTTCTACAAGATAGTTTTTCTACAGTGGTAAAGATTCCTTCTCAAGTACTAATATATTTCACAAAAGATTGTTCTAATTAATGATTCAATAATAAAAAAATTTTTTGACTTCATAAAATGCAAAAGAATTGATTATATAAATTCTGCTATTTTAACACTAGCCAAAATTGATGTTAATAAAAGTGCAATATGATATAACTATTATTCAATGCAAATTTAGATAATTTAATAAAGCTATTATTTTATAAAAAGATTTTTATTTTACTATTTTTTAAGAAGTTATAAGAATTTAAAAATTTAAAAATTTTTATTAATTAAAAATAATAATTTATGTTATTTCTTATTATATAATAAAAAGAACAAGTCTATTGGATAGATTTTGTTCTAACCAAAAGTTTATTAATGCCAGTATCCTGGCCATGGTAAAAAAATGTGACGGGTCATGTGATTTTTAAGGAGTAAACCAATCAAATCGCAAGATCAAATAATATTCCTTGCAAAATTTTTTTATAAAGTCACGTGGAATATAATCATAATCTTGTTACACATTGATCTTGCGATTTGATTGATTTACCCTTAAAAATCACATGACCCGTCACTTTTTTTCGCTATGGCTAGAATACTATATTAATGCCACTGATCAGCGTTAGTACATGTATATCTTATCAAAAAAAAATGGAATGAAAAAATGGCGACGGTCGAAGAAACGAAAGAGATGTTGAGGAAGGCGGAGAAGGAGTACGGAGAAGTGAAGGCAGCATTGGAGAAGTTTGAGCAAGACGAGGAGGGTGAGCAGTGGCTCACGAAGCTGAGGAGAAAGATGAGGACAGGGAGGCTCGACGACGAGGAGAAACAGGAGAAAGCAAGGTTGGAGGAACAGCAGAAGAGACTAGAGGAAAATGTTAGAGGCTGGGGGAAGCATGTGCAGGAGTTACAAAAAAGGCTCACTGCAACAACAGCTCAGTCAGGTAACGACTTCGTGACTCGGCCGTTGGCGCTGTAGTTTTATTCATACTTTTATCTCCATCCATGAATCATATCTGCAGTTGCCTCGTTGACGCGGAAACGCAAATCGAATGAACTTTCGCCCTTTGACGAAGGTCCTGATAAACTCTGTCATATCTCTGACGAACGCATGGCGAAACTCAACAATTACATAGATGATAATCATATCGTTTTGTTGCGAAGTCCACCGGGTTCAGGCAAGACAACGCTTATCGATCTCTTCGGAAAACACCTAGAAAAAAAAGGCTATACGGTTGTGTGCATTACGATGCTCGACTTATTGGAGAAGTCAGGACATCAGGATCCCATCTCTTTCGACACTTTCTGGGAGGAACGCACAGGGACGAAGTGGACTGATTGCTACAATTGTAGTGTCATAATGTACGTACTGATTGATGAAGCGCAAATCCTTTACGGCAAGGTGACGTTCTTTTGGAATAGACTGAAATTACTAATGCAACACAACACGAGCAATTGCAATCTGCGCTTGATGCTTTTGAGCATGTATGACGATCCAACGAACATCGAAGGCACGCCTATCACATTCAATGCTACTCTCGGACTAGAGGACCTGCGCTTGTTGTCGAATGAGTTCACCATAGTAGTAGACAGGTTTTGCAAAAGTTTCGATTCTTCCATTCCTATTACTATATCAGAAACCGTCAAGGATGCCGTTTTTAATTCAACTCGTGGGCATCCTGGCCTTGTCCGACGCACATTGTCACTCTTACAGTATGAATATCGTCGTGGTCATGTCGAAGAATCTCAACTGCTTCGTTACCTGGTCTCTGCGAGCTATTGGTCTACGATCAAAAATGCGCGGCCATTCACGTGGCTGCATGACTGGCAGCCAGATGATGAGACAATTAGATTCCTGCGGAAGGTATTCTACGAAATTAATATTGAGTCAACCTTTTCTGTGGATTGGCGCGACCCTGCCCAGGCAAGTATCTCGAGAAAGCTCAAAAGGTCAGGATTGATTACTGAAACAGGGGATCCAAGTCGATGGCAGTTTGCTGCTCCACTTGTACGTATTATTATGGGACATAAACTATTCACCATGCCTGTATCTTACACACGATCAAGCTGAAATTTCGAAGAATTCTTGCGTCTCGCAATTGAACGCATGCGTCCATCAGTCTTTACCAATTCGCTCAGCCATGGCAATCATATAAATACACGCCTATTAGAAAGAGCCTGGCAAATGGAGCTGCAACTACAGCCATGCCAACAAATGCAACGATCAGCCCAGATGTTGGACAGGTTTTCGGCTCTGCTGGATTTCTCGACTTTTTTGTCAATGGTGATTTAGGTTGGGCAGTGGAACTTATGCGAGAAGGTCAGAGGATGACAGATCATGTTGGTCGTTTTTCTGATGGAGGCACATATTCATGTATTCCTTTCACGAACTGGGCTATTGTCGACTTCCGACACAATGCCAACATGCCCAAAACCCTGCAGCCGAACGTTTGGTATGCATTGTATGCAGACAATTATCAAACTATCACCATCAGACGTCAAAATAAAGAAGATCGAACTCTAACTCTAAAGGGTGATGATCTTGCTTTCTCTTGGGAAGTGTGAGACATTTATGAAATAGTAAAATGTGTCTCAGCACATATCATGGTTTGTAAATACCTGTTATATTTTGTAGCTGAAGTACAAAAAAAGAGCAACCAGTTTGGACTAATCCACTAATGTAATTAGGACATCTCTACTCATGTTTGGCATTCAGTATAATGTTATCTTTTTCTTCGCAACATGTTTTATTTTCAAATGGTCATGCACCGTCTGGGGCAATGTTTTGCTTGGTTAACTGAGTAAGTTGGGGTGTTTGACTAATTTTTCCGTAAGGATGGCATTCTATATCATGACTACAATAGAGATAGTGATACTTAGAAATTATATTATGCAAGTTAAGAATACTATGTAGCTTACTAAATAAAGATTTGCAATAATCACGGAGTAAATTCTTCCTGGCGTGAACAATTACGTGCTACTGCTAAACGTAAAGTCAATAAAATTTATATATGGGAATACTCGTATATGGAAAATTATAATTATAGTGATTCAACTAAATATGAAAAAACCATATGCTTCTCAAAGATCAGTTACAATTGTAATGGAAAAATTTGTCAAGTTATGTAAAGTATTTCAAGCTTTCCTAGATTCAAACAAGATATTTTTAATAATTCAGTTAAAAGTAATAAATAATGAAAAAATAGCTGGTAGTTAATATGGTCCGGTGCAGAATGATTCGTACCTCAATATGAGTGGTTAAAGTTTTTGTAATATCAAAATATTATGTAGTAAACCAAACAATTCCATTTTCACATGGAATAAAGATCATAAATAGACATTTTTTTTTTTGCAAATTTTATTGAATTTTAATGACTAGTTCTTCTCTAGGGTGAAGTTATTCGCCACTGACTGAGAACAAAAAATGGATGGTGATCAACACTCACTGGTACTTCTCTGGAACTACCTTCTCTAATAAGTAAAACCAAAGCATATCATTATGCAAGCAAGTTGCTCTAGTTTTGGATATTGCAGAAAGTACAGTTGGAGCTGTATTATCTGACTGGAACTGATGCAATGATGATATGTTTTCAGCACACCAAAATCTTGGATCTTCTAAATCAAAACCAGATGAAAATATTGTATCACTTTTGCGTACATATATTACTGATAGTAATAGAACCGGATACCAAATTTTCATACCTTTTTTATGGCAGTTTCTCTCTGAACATGGCTATATACTTTTCAAGTGATAACTTCTCAAAATATTATATCAGTTAGACTACTATTACAGCAAAGGAGAATGAAGAAATATTCTTTATGAGTCACCAAACAATACTATATTTCATTATCATTATATTCATTATCATTTCGCTAACTTAGAAGGCAATAATAACATCCCACACCTTCTAAAAGTCTTTCTTGATGAGTCATATTGTCATTTACACTATACGTTACAAAATACAGTGGTACCAGAAATTATTTGGAAATTTTTAAATCACATTTTCTCAGAAACTGGTAATTCAATCATTTTAATTTTTTTTTAT